GTGTAATAAGCCGAACGACGTTCAGAGAAGAAGCATTAGGCACCAAAGTCTACATTTTGGTTTTATAGGCAGCACCACAGCCTACAGAGTGTGTAGTCTCCCTGGGACTAGCTGAGGCTGCCAGGCCTTTCCCCTGAGACACTGATTAGTCAGCTGATTGGCCAAACAAAGCTCCCATGCCAACCAGGAAGGCCAAGGCCCCCTCTGAAGGGAGCCAGCCAGAGTGTGGGTTGGGCTTCCAGGCCTTCCAGCAAGAGTAATCTAGCAGCCGCCTCTGTTTTTTTGTTTTGTTTTGCTTTTTGTTTTTTTGACCCTGAAGCCTGTCTGCTGAGGCACAGTGACCTGAGCTTTGGAATGGTACCTAGAAAACCCATCATACTTCCTCAAGGGCGAGGGGAGGAGGGAGAGGATCCAGTCCCCAGAGAAGCCAGGCTTCTCTGATAAGTGGGAACCAGCTAAACTGGTTCACGGAGCTGAGCAGTATCTCAGGCTTTGTCGCTGCCCATGGACTGAGTGCTGTGAAAAGTATCCGTCTGATTTCTGCGTCTGAAAAGAGCAGGGTTATGCTAAGCTTGGGAAGGGAACAGAATTTGCAAAGTGCTGCAGGCACGGAAGAGTCCTGCTTGCCAAAGGACAGCGAACCACGAACCCTGAAATTCTCGGAGAGCAGGGACAGGAAGGGAGAGCCTAGAAAGGCTTGTGGGCCATGCAGAGGTGACCCCTAGCACACTGCTGTCCCTTCACGGGTGACAGCTGAAAATGCTCTCTAAGTGACTTCTTCATTAGAAAGGCCATCTATAAGCTTAGGTAGAATTTCAGAACTGTGGTTTCAGAATGTTGAAGAATAGTGTGTGTGTGTGTGTGTGCTCTTGATTAAAATTTGAGTTTACTGTCTATATTTGCTTAAAATTATTTATGTATTTTTTTATTATGTGCATTGGTGTTTTTCCTGCTTGTTATGTCTCTGTGAGGGGTGTTGGGTCTCTTGTAACTAAAGTTACCGACAGGTGGGAAGCTGCCATGTGGGTGCTGTGACCTTGAACCCAGGCCCTCTGGAAGAGCATCTGGCGGTGCTGCTAACTGGTCTCTCCCCGCCCTGCTGTCTGTATTTTTTTTAAACCACCAGGGACATTTACATCAAAATAAAGAAAACATTTAGAAAATACCTTATTGCGTTTATTTATTTGTTGTGCGTGTGCTGCTGGACCTCTTGATTTAAAAAAATGAATTTATCTATTACCTATATTTTTAAGCCACCAGTAGACATAAATTTGTTTCAGAACAAAGGAAAACTTTTAAAGTTGATTACAGTTATTTATGGCTCTTGCGTGTATGTGTGCCCGCGTGCATGTGCGCGTGTCTGTATGTGTGTGCGTGTGTGTGCGTGTGTGCGCTGCGTGTGCGCAGGTGCACACGTGTGTATGTGTGCTTTTGTTCGTGTGTGTGTCTGTGCATGCGTGCATGTGTGTCTGTATCTTTGTGTGCGTGTGTGTGTGCGCGCGCGTGCGCGAGCGCGTGTGTGCATGTGTGCTTCCACACACACCGTGACAAGCCTGTGGGGGTCGAGGGACAAATGGCGACAGTTGGGTTCTGTGTCCTCCCTTGTGGGTCCCGGTGACCAAACTCCTACTTGTTGGTAAGTGCCTTTGCTGCTGAGCGTCTTTTTGTTTTGTTTTGTTTTGTTTTGTTTTTTTGGTTTTTTTTGTTTTTTTGTTTTTATGAGACAGGGTTTCTCTGTTTTGGAGGCTGTCAGTCCAGCCTGGCCTCAAACTCACAGAGATCCGCCTGTGTCTGCCTCCCGAGTGCTGGGATTAATGGCGTGCGCCACCACCGCCCGGCACCGCTGAGTGTCTTGCCAGCCCAAGAAAACATATTTTTTGTGATTTATTTATTTTGTCTTTAGTTTTGTGTATGTGGGTGCAGCTGCCCCCTAGAGATCAGAAGAGGGTGTCAGGTCCCCCGGAACTGGTGCAGGGAACCAAACCCGGGTCCTCTGGAAGAACAGCAAGTGCTCTCAGCCGCTGAGCCGTCTCCTCAGCCCTTCTCCGAATCCTGAGCAAGCACTTTGAAAGGAGAGATTCATTTGCGAAGTTTGGTAGCCCACTTAGTCCTAAAACAGAGCTTGCTGAGAAAAATCGGCACTCTGTGAAGAGCGGCGGAAACCTCAGGAAACTGAATAAATCAATGTGATCGCAAACGCTTTCACCCCACTGGCATGCCAATGAGATCTGTAATTCCCAGAAAGGTGATACCAGCAGTTCCGAGCCCAGTCCTGTAGCATTGCTTCTTAAAGACGGGGAATCAGTCACACCCACAGTGCAGGAACATGTTTCCATCTGTTCTCTGACAGATTTTATCCGAAGGGCCTGAGGATTAGCCGTGCAGTGAATTCGCCTCCGTGCCCGTCCTCGCCTCACTCCAGCACCCTTGATTTTGACTCTGACTTGCTCCTTGTGAATGTCACGTTGGCTCATTTCAGTGAAGAAACACTGGTCCTTCTATGCTTCAGGTCTACACAAATGCAACATTGTTTATTTGCCAAATCCCCAAGAGACTCGAGGAACTAATTCATCTATTAAAGCTTCTCTTGGAAAAAAATCAAACCTTTCAGATGGGAAACCTGGGTGGGTACCATCAGGGTGTTTTGCAATGGGGCTGGCCAGATTGCTGCAAACGTTACAGATGGCTCCGTTCCTCGCTTCTGGAGGTTCATCGGGCTGGGAGGATAGGTCAGGAAGGCAAATGAGAGAGCAGCTGGCTTGAGGGTACAACAGGGGAGACAGCGGGTCTCGAGGTCTAGAATAGAGGAGGGGTAGCAGTAGGTGGGACCTCAGAACCCCAGGGCCTGTCCCTGTAACCTCAGCAACACAGTTGAAGGTTGGAGCTTAGTTCAGGGGCCTAGAAGCCCCCAGCCTGTCTGTGGCTTTTGCTAGAGGCCACTGCTGATCTTGGTAGGAGGGTTACATGATCCTGACAGAAAGTCTCTCCACTGCCAGAGACTGAAGGTTGGCTTGGTGGGGAAGGCTCGCTTTTGCTTATTTGTTTATTATTTTTTCCCCGGGGGTTTTGTTTTCATTTGTTTTGAGGCAAGAGTCTCACTATATAGCCCTGGCTGACCTGGTACTTGTTTTATAGGCCAGGCTGGGCTGAAACTCACAGAGATCTCCGGGGCCAAATGTTGACGTTAAAGGCATGTATGCCAGCCGTACCTGGCTTATTGTTTTTGAGACAAGGTTTCCAGCCCAGGCTGGCTTGAACTTGCTATGCAGCCAAGAATGACCTTCAACTTCTGACCCTTCCACCTCTACCTCCTGAGCTGGGTAGAGCTCAGCATCGACACACCAGGTTTGTGTAGTCCTGAGGAACAAATCCACGCCCCTACATGCTAGCCAAGCATTCTACCAGGCTATCTTAAGGCTATCGTCTTCCCCAGACCTTAAGGGCGGGAGAATCCCGGAAGGTCTCTCCCCTCCAAGGCTTAACGGGGCGAAGAAACAGATAGCTCAGCCAGTTCAGTTGGAATGATGCTGGAAAAGACATAGAGGGAACCCACTCTGCCTCCTTGTCTCCACCGAGGAAGCCAGCATCATGAGAATTGCCCTCCAGGGAACCTCCCAGTGACAGCTTCATGGGAAGGCACAGTGCTCTTCAGAGGACTAGATTATGTGGTTGGGGTCTCTTATGGATGGAGCTGGGTTTTTGCTTTCTCTCTCTCTCTCTCTCTCTCTCTCTCTCTCTCTCTCTCTCTCTCTCTCTCTCTCTCTCTCTCTCTCTCTCTCTCTCTCTCTCTCTCTTTTCCGAGACAGGGTTTCTCTGTATTGTTTTGGAGGCTGTCCAGGAACTCACTCTGTAGACCAGGCTGGCCTCGAACTCACAGAGATCTACCTGCCTCTGCCTCCCGAGTGCTGGGATTAAAGGCGTGTGCCACCAACTCCTGGCTTGTTTTCTCTTTTGACTCTTTGGGGGGGGCTGCCAACCAGCTGCCAAATAATCACACAAAGACATGCTTTCTTATGAATGCCTTAGCTTGGCTTATTTCTAGCCAGCTTTTCTTAAGTTATCCCATCTATCTTTTGTTTCTGGGCCTTTACCTTTCTCTATTTCTGTACATCTTATCTTTCCCTCTTACTCTGCGTCTGGCTGTGTGGCTAGCCCCACCCCCCACCTCCCTCTCCTCCTTTATTGCTCTTCTCCATCATCATCTCTCTTCTCTTTTTCCCCCTCTGCCCGGAAGCCCCGCCTATCCCTTCTGACGCCTAGCTCTCGCATGTTCAACTCTGTACTGGACCAATCAGATGTTTTAGACAGGCCCAATAACACAGCTTCGCAGAGTCAAACAAAAGCAACGCCAGAGAGTGCAACGCATCTTTGCATCACTAAACAAGCGTTCCATGGCATAAACACACGTAACACATCTTCCAAGCAGTATTCCACAGCACGGGGCACCCAAGTTCAGGTCTAAGTCTCCCCGTTGATCTCTAGGTGGGTTTTTGTTTGTTTGTTTGTTTGTTTGTTTTTGTTTTTTTGTCTGTAAGATGGGCACAGCATAACTCATGTCAGGGAGACACCTGCTCATAGGCTCTGCCCGGAGGGCCTTTCTGCAGCAATGAACCTACTTCTCCGAACCTGTGGTTGCCTTACACAGTATCCCCAGACGTGAGTGGCTACTGCACACCAGGATGCTGTCTCGGGGCCAGAGGAATGGAAGTTTACATTTGTGTGTGTGTGTGTGTGTGTGTGTGTGTTGTTCAATTTAAGAGAAAGTGATGAGTCTGCAGAGGTGGCTTGGTGGTTAAGAGTACGTCTAGAGGCCTCGGGTTTGATCACCGACACACACATGGTGACTCATAGCTGTCTGTGACTCCATAACCCCAGTTCCAGGGAGTCTGATATACCCTCCTGTCATCTAAGGGTGCCAGGCATGTAAGCATCACACAGGCACACATACAGGCAAAACACCAATGCACAAAAGACACGAATAAATAAATAGTAAAAATAAGTTAGTTACAACGGCATGGCTTCTGTTTCAAAAAACAAAAAAAAAAAAATGCTTTATCTCAATTATGTACATAGCCAGTTGTGGAGGTGGCAGGTAGTTGTAATTCCTTCACTCAGGAGGCAGAGGGTAGCTGCAAGAGGAGGCCAGTTCTGTGAGTTCCAGGCCAGCCAGGAGTAGCGACACCTTGTCTCAAAAACAAACAAACAAACAAACAAAAAACAGGCCCTTCCTTCATGCACTGAGGGTCATAGATGGCGAGTGAACGTCACCCTCACGCTGCAGGAAGTCTGCTTGTTTTGCCACCCTTCAGAAGGGCGCCACAGCGTCCTGGGTCCTTCTTAGCTGCTCCTTATTCTTGCATCGTGGTCATTCCAGCTCCTCCTCCTCGGTGCCCGGGCAGCTCCTCAGTTAACCAGACTCCTTTGGCCAGACGTCAGCAGGAAGACACACTGCACTGTCTGCAGCCAAAAGACAGCCTCTGAGCTGGGTGAGGTTGGCATGGATCGCCGAGGCGGAGCGTGAGACTCCAAACTGCTAATTTGCTAAAATAATTTGGGAAAGTGCTGCTTAAAAACCTGCGGGAAGAGGAGGCAGAGTGTCTGAGATCTGTGGGAGACCAAAGTCCAGGCCCCTGGAGGTCATGTTTGCTAATTGCCTCAGTGGCCGCCGGCCACGGAATATTTATTTCTCTCTTGGCCCAGAGAAGCCAGCCTTATTCGCAGAGAGTTTTCTACCATCACTCAAGCTAAACTCTGGGTTTGGTTTCCTATCAGTTAGAAATCTGGGGATCATAGTCTGTCCCCACCCCCAAGGATTCATAGGAGATTTTTCATGATTAGACCCTTTGCAACCCGGGCTGTCTTTTCTTTGCAACAAAGGCCCAACGGAGAAGGGAGGCAGGGAAGTAATGGGGACTGTATTCTGGACTAGGGCCCAGCCACCTACAGCTGGAGAGATTAGGGCTAAGCGTTGACCCGAGATCAGCCAGGTTCATCAGCTGACCAGTGACCCGTGGCAAGGCACAAAGGAATGTCTCACACTTCTTTCACAGTCATCCTCTCTAGACCTTAAGCTAGGCGCAGGAAGAACCTGACGTGAGGTAACAGTTGGGGATAAAAAGGGGGGAAGCCAAATGAAACCATTTAGGGAGCTCTGGGGCTGTGCTGGCTGGTTGTTATGTCATCTGGGAGGAACGAATCTTCATGGGGAAAGTGCTTCCTTAGGACTGACCTGTAAGCAACTCTGTAGAGCAGTTCTTTGATTGACACCGTCCCAGGCAGGTGACTGAGCAGGCCCGGAGAGCAAGCAGTGAGCAGCATTCTTCCAAAGGTCCTGCCTCCACGGTTCTTGATTTGAATTCCTGCCCCGACTTCTCTGGGTGACGGAGTGTGGCCATGAGAGTCTTAACCTGAAATGAACCCTTTCCTCTTCAAGCTGTTTATGGTGACGGTGTTTCATTGCAGCACTAGAAACCGTAACTAAGACAAGGCCAGAGACTGATTGTTATATAAATTGGAGACTTTGTACTCTTTGGATGCCTCAAGTAATTCAAACATATGACTACCCACCCAATTTAATTTAATACGTATGTGATCACTTTGGACAGGGTGCTTCTACCTCCCCTCCTGCCTCCCCCTCCCCTCCTGCCTCCCCTCGAGGCTTCATCCCCCGACACAGCCTGTGCTGGGTGGACTTGCTACTTCAGAACCAGCTGCCTGTTCAATATCTTCCTAGGTAGATTGCTATCACGGGGATTACCAAACCAAAGAGGTGATTACCTTTCTGATTATTACTGCGTGTTACCTTCTATTGGTTCGTGTAATCCTGGTGTCATTGATTAACTGGGCATGTCAGCTTCACCCCAGCATTATCAGCGCTGGGAATACCATTTGGGGGCTGTGGAGACAGCTTGGTGGAAAAGTCTTTGCCCGGAATACGTGAAGACGTGGGTTTGATCCCCAATACTGGTTTAAAAAGAAGAAAGAGAAAGGAGTCAGGCTTGGTGGCAGAGCACGTGGCATATTATATGCGGAATACTAGCATTCTGGAGGCAGAGGCAGGATCATGAGTTCAAGGCCAGCACCCTGTCTCAATAACAAAACAAAACAAAACAAAACAAAACAAGACAAAACGCCAGGCCTGGTGCAAGCCTGCCATGTCAGCTATTCCAGAAATGGGAGTAACCAAGTTCAAGGCCAGCTTAGTCAGCTTAGTGAGCCTTTGACTGAAAACAAAAAGCTAAAAGAAATCTGGGATATAGCTTAACGGTGGGCCTTGCCCAGCACGTCCAAGACCCTGGGTTTAGTCTCTAATACTGAAGAAAATAAGCAAAGCTATGGTAGGGCATGTCAGAAACAACCTCATTTGTATTTAGTTAAAGAAAGAAAGAAAGAAAGAAAACACAAACACATCATTTTTTAAAATTTATTTATTTTTAACCCCCCCCACTACCAACAGAATACAATGTCTAAGGGCAGGAATGTCAGTCCACACAGGCCATTATTTTTTTTAATATTTTATTTATTTACTGTGTATACAATCTTCTGCCTACATGCCAGCGGAGGGCACCAGATCTCATTACAGATGGTTGTGAGCCGCCATGTGGTTGCCAGGAATTGAACTAAGGAACTCTGGAAAAACAGTCAGTGTTCTTAACCTCTGAGCCATCTCTCCAGCCCCCCAGGCCATTCTTCAGTCACTTAAAGTTGTAGAATTCGGACTGGTGAGACGGTTCCTTGGTTAAGAGCACTGGCTACTCTTCCAGAGGACCTGGGTTTGATTCCCAGCACCCACATGGCAGCTCACAACCGTCTGTAACGCCATTTCCAAGGCCTCCTCTGGCTTCTGAGGGCGCTGTTCCACTCAGTACACAGATAGGCATTCAGTCAAAACGCCTATATAAATGTAAAACAACAAAGCTATTTATAAGCTAGAGATGTGTATATTTTACAGACTACCCTCCAATCTTTTTATAAGCTAGAGATATCTGTATATATATTGGTTTTTACGAGACAGGGTTTCTCTGTATTGTTTTTGAGGCTGTCAGTCCAGCCCGGCCTCGAACTCACAGAGATCTGCTTGCCTCTGCCTCCCAAGTGCTGGGATTAAAGACGTGCACCACCACCGCCCGGCCAGATGTGTGTATATTACAGACTACCTTCGGTCTGCACTGTTAGGTTCTCTTATTAGATTTTCAGATGTGTGCTTAAAATGTTCACAGAAGCCAGTCACGCACACCCTTAATCCCAGCCCTCGGGAGGCAGAGGCAGGTGGATCTCTGTGACTTCAGTCAGTGCTCTTAACTGCTAAGCCGTCTCTCCAGCCCTATTTTTAAAAACTATTTATAAATGAAATAGTTGAAAAGAGTTATAGCTGGCCTACATAGCCACAGGTTTCATATCCGAAGATTTAGCTGGTCTAGAACAAAGAATTCAGAAAGAGTGCAACTCCAGTGGCAGATTGTATGCTTAGTACAAAGCCCTGGGCTCCACCTCAGTTTCCCCAAAAGCTGTTTTTTATTTTTAGGAACAAAAAAACACAAAACTTAACTGGGCATTGGGGCGCACACCTTTAATCCCAGCACTGGGGGGGGGCGAGGGGGGGCAGAGGCAGACGGATCTCTGTGAGTTCGAGACCAGCCTGGTCTACAAGAACTAGTTCCAGGACAGCCTCAAAAGCCACAGAGAAACCCTGTCTCAAAAAACCAAACCAAACCAAAACAAACAAACAAACAAAAAAACAAAGCTTGTGTTTTACTTAAAGTGTGTAGACAGGCTTTTTTGTTTTGTCATATTCGCTAGACGATTCAGTATAATAACTATTTACCTGGTACCTGCATTTTACTAGGTACTATGTACACTCTGGGGATGACTGTAGGGGAGGGTGTGTGAGTTATACTGTTTTGAATTTCAGGTGTTCTTTATATGTATTTTTTCCCTTAGCATAGATGGGTGGTTTGCCTACATGTGTATGTACCGCTTGCAAACACCTCCCTGGGGCCAGAAGAGGGCATCGGCTCCCCTATTGCAGCGTCGTAGACAGTTCTGAGCTGCTGCGTGGGTGCTGGGAATCGAACTCTGGTCCTCTGTAAAGCAGCCCAGTGTTCTTACTGCTGAGCCGTTTCTCTGACCTCTGCATACAGTCTCCCTGTACACATACGTGCTCTAGTTGTTGATTTCTTGTGAAGCATGCGTTGGCAAATAATTTCTCGTCTTTTCGCTTGCTTGAGAGTTTCACTTGGAGCACAAACGTTTATCATCTTCATGTGGTTACTCTCTTTTTCCTCCTGTTCTTGTGGCTACTTTTCTCACATGTGCTTACAGTGCCATATCCAAGGAAACCACCGCCAAACCTGGTGTTAAGAACATCTTCCTCCCCTGATAGATTTTCCTCCTAGTGTTTACATGCAGACCACTGACTCTCTTAGAGCCACCTGTCGGGGCTTAGAGTCAGCTCTTGCCTATGGTAGTTAGGTGAGGCTGTGACAGCGTTCGCCACACAGTTTCCTGATGACACTGTCCCTTTCACGTTGAGGGATCCTGGCACCCTTGTTGGTGAAAGGCCCCCGCCGTGGCCCTGAGGGACTTTAGGTGAGAAAGTAACTCTCTACAGAAGAGTGTGGACCTCAGCTTTCTCTGAAGCATTCATTGTCTCCTTCCCAGAGCCAGGAGGGTGGGGCAGGACCCCTGACAGCACCTCCCAGGTAGAAGAGGCCTTGGGCAGCGCCCAAGGGCTCTGTGCTGGGCCAGGCTGCTCCCTCTGGATGCCAGCCCGAACAGCCTGGCCTGGGACTGCCCAGACTGGTTTGGAGCTGGCTCAGTTAGCCACAGCCTACAGCCAACACCACCCCCTTCTTTCTCCTTCTTTCTGCTTCTCTCTCACGTCTTCCCTTTCTCGATTCTTTTCTCTCGGCCCCGGTGTAGCTGATTCTAACCGCCCCAGTCCCCAGGTCCTGAGCGGCTGACCTGGGTGCAATCCTGCCCACGTAGGGCCTTTCCTCCCTTGGGCCCCCTGCCAGGCCAGTCAAGTTCCAACCAGAAGGTTCCTACGTTTTTAATGGGTATAAAATTATCGATAATGACACAACCAGTAACGCTAACAATAACAATTGCCGTTTATTGGGTACTTACCAAACATAGCTTACATGCTTCGCATGGTTAGCTGCCCACAGCAGGCCTGCGAGGTCAATATTATTATCATATTCCCGTAGCAGATGAGAAACTAAGCTGCAAGGGCTCACATTCTGTGCCCAAGGTCAAACAGTCAGCCAGCCAGTGCCACAGTCAGGATTCATATGTTGCCTGCCACAAATGCATCTGGCCTAGACTCTGAAGCCTACCCTCACTGCCTGACTTTGGACACAGCTGTCTTTGAGAAACACGTGTGTGTGTGTGTGTGTGTGTGTGTGTGTGTGTGTGTAAAATGGACTTGGGAGAGAGCTCTACCAGACGTAAGTGCTTAGATTTTCTAGTCCCTCTTAACATTGATGGTCTCTAGAGGGGGGCATGGAAGGCTAGGGAGTAGACAGACTTAGGCAGCCAACGACTGAAATTTCTGGAACACAGCACCCCACCACTCACAGGCTTGGCTTGATTCTCTGCCCCTCCTGGCTAGACTCACTGATACTGCCTTCCTGGCAGGTTCAAGCCTGCCTGTTCTGAAGGAATTCCCTCCACCAGGCCTGTATACAGCAGGGCATAAAGACAGAAATAAGAGGAGCTTGCTTCCCCTTCAAAGACCTAGTTCTAAATGGCTTTCTATTGGGGAGGGAGTTAAACACCATGACCAAAAGCAACTTGGAGAGAAAAAGGTTTATTTTCTCTTATGTCTTACAGGTCATCATGAAGTAAAGTCAGGGCAGGAAGTCAAGGCAGGAATCTGGAGGCAGGAACGAAAGCAGATGCCAAGGAGGAATGTTGTTTACTGGCTTGCTCTCCATGGCTCTCTTTCTTTCTTTCTTTCTTTCTTTCTTTCTTTCTTTCTTTCTTTCTCTCTTTCTTTCTTTCTATCTTCTTCCTTCTTTCTTCCTCTCTTTTTTTTGTTTTTGCTTTTCTGAGACAGGGTCTTTCCACAGAGTCCTGACTGTCCTGGAAATCCATCAGTAGACCAGGCTAGCCTGGAACTCATAGAGATCCACCTGCCTCTGCCTCCAGAGTGTTGGGAATCAAAGGTGTGCACCACCAAGACCAGTATTGGCTTGTTTTCTTATACAGGACCACCTGCTCAGGAGTGAGACCACCCAAAATAGTTTGGGTCTCCCCACATCAATCATCAATCAAGAAAATGGCCATAGACTTGCGTACTGGACGGTCCAATGCAGTTGAGGATCCCTCTTTCCAGAGGACCCCAGCTTGTGTCATGTTGAAAAAAATGAAGCAAAAACAAAAACTAATTACTAAAGTCCCCTTGATCTGAGTGGGAACAGTGTAGGCAGCTACTGAGGAAGAGAGTAAGGAGCCACCTTACACC